GGGGTCAGCGTTGCCGTTGGTCAGGATTGTTTTGGCAGGAGGAGTTGGGCCACCTGGCCTGTCCCTGGAGGCCCTGGCTGAAGCCCCACCACGGTGGCTTCCTGTAGGAGTTGAGGGCAGTTGGTGCAGTGTGTGTATTTATCTGTATTCTTTCTCATAGGTACCTTTAACATTTGTCTGGCTTCAGTTTAATGGGAGCCGCTGGGATCCTGCAGCCAGTTCAGGGCGAGGGTAAGGTTCATGTCCTCGTTTGGGCTCTTCCTTCCAACAGACCCCTTCTCCGTGTGTGTCTCTGCCTCTCTCTCACTTCTCTTTTCCCCTCTGTTCTATTCTTACACCTTTCTCAACCACATTATTTCCTTCCAGGTCGTTTCAGTCAAGTGAAGTAGGCAGCTGGTGTCGTGGCTTCGGTATTTACTGTGGGGCCACCCGGGCTGGCATTTGGGCTGGGCAAGCAGTGCTAGGGGACTCATTCTAACAGTCTGGAACCTTTTGTTTTTTCTTTCTTTCTTTTTTTTTTTTGTTTTCCTTTCTTCTTTTCTTTTCTTTTGTGTTTTCTGTGTAGGTCTCATTAGTCAGCCTTATAGCTAATGCCCTGGGCTACTCGGAACTAGGTGCCATAAAGTCCCTTAGGACACTAAGAGCTTTGAGGCCTTTAAGAGCGTTGTCCCGATTTGAGGGGATGAGGGTAAGATGCCACGAGCAGCTGATCCTTCTGCATGCCTGGGGGAGTGGTCTGGTTTGGTTTTTTGGTTTTCGGTTTGGTTTTTTGGTTTGGTTTTTTTTTCCTGGAAAAAAATTAAATAAAAAAATTAATAATAATTAAAAAAAAAAAAAAAAGCATGCTAGAACTGATCCAAACGGGTGGAAAGAAAAATTCTCCCAAAGAGAATCATTGATGCAGCTGCTGACTCGGTCACCTCTCCCCTGGATGTCCCCTCACCCTGCCCACTGCTGCACCCTCCCCTCTTTAAGAAAGGGAGATGCATTCAGCTGCCTCATGACATGAATCACTGGCCCAAACCACGTGCCACCTGTAGATGATGTTTAACACTTGGCTGTTCTCATGTAGCCTGGCTTCTACCTCTAGCATCCGAGGGGGCTTCTCAGCTGTCACTTTTTTGATCTAGGGAGAATCACCAGGTGCAAAGAAGCAGAATTGGAACCACCTCAGTATCTCCAGCCCCTCGAGGCCTTGGCTGCTGGTGGAATTGGATTGAAAGACTCTTATCTGAGGGGGTTTTAAAAACACAATCTGCCTGCAAGGGGGGGAAAGGCAGCTTCCTTTCTGGGATCACTCAGGCCTTCAGGAAGGGACTGGTGGGGAGCTCAGCTGCTTGAAAAAAAGGCTTTGGTTTAATTCCTCTTGTTGCACCTTGTTGTTCTCGGTCCAGTCTGGTGCTGACTGGAAGCCTTGTCTGGTAGTGAAGCTTTTCCTTTCCACTCCCTCCCTTTTCCCCTGCTTTATGGTCCCCTGTCCTGTCACTGTGCAACGAGCAACGAAGTGCAAGCAAAGCATTGAACTTACCAAGCTTTCCTCAAATTGTTAGACAGCACCACTGCCCTGGGGACCTCAAGTTTCCCCAGGGTCTCACTGCTTTGCCACTAATATTCTGGGGGGTTGGTGCTGTATTTTTTTCCATTTGGGATTGAAATAAACTGGTAACAACACAAGAAACAATTTAAGTAAAGGGCACGTGGTACTAACGGGGTTCCCAGTTGCTTTTGAAACAATAATGGATGTTTCTTGTGCTAAATCCCAGCTAGGTCAGAGTTAGAGATGCTAAAACAGATAAAATGATGTATTCTGAAAAACAGAGAAGGGAATAGCAATTACAGTTTTACTTCAGGGTCTGACTGGAGTGATTCCACCTGGATCCTTCTGATCCCCTTTGCATTTGCTGAAGTGTAACTGAGCACAAACCAGCCTGAGAGGGGCAGGGAGCTGAACCCTCAGATTCCAAAGGAAGTGATAGAAATAAATCATAACACATGCAGAGAGGGTTGTTTCTTCCCTGATGTCATCCTGTCCCTATTTCTGTGTGTCACTTAGCTTAGTTCTCAACTTTATTCTATAACAGAGGCACAAAAGGATGAGGATTTTTCCATCAACACAAAGCCAGAGCTTTTGCTGGGCTGGGTTCAGGTCTCTCCTAAGAGGAGGATCAGAAAGGAAAAAAACCCATTAAACAGGCAGATAATAAAGCTCTTTTTCAGCTGGAGAGCAGCTGTGATTTCTGATGCACAACCAGGAGGTTCTCCTACTGAAAGTGAAGGATTTTCACCACAGCAGAACTGATAGTTCAGACTGCAGCCCTGCTAGTTCCCTAAATTATTGCCCTTTATTTTGACTTGAGGAGAAGTGTTGCTGCCCTGAACAGCCAGAGCACAGAGGCCTGAAGTGCCTTTGCAAAGGAAACATAAAATGTAGTTCTTTGCTTTTCTCTGCTCCCTAGTAATCTGCATTTTCCAGAGCTTGCTCTGCTCTTCAGTTATTCAGGGAGCTGGACAGTCCTGCTATGCCCCGTGCATGCCTGTTTGTCAGTCTGCACACAAAAGCCATGTTCCTTCTCTCACATCTTTTTTGGATGCTGGATGAATGTGACATCCTGTAAGTTCCTGGAGGAGACTGATGCTTGTTTCAATGCAGTGATGAGCTGGGCTAAACCCCAGTGTGGGGGAAACTGAAGGACCTTAAACCCCCTAGAGAGGTGCTGGTGTCCAGCAGCAGAGCATCCCATAGGGATGTGGAGCTCCTGGACTAAGTCCAGAGGAGGCCACGGAGATGATGGGAGGGCTGGAGCAGCTCTGGGGACAGACTGGGAGAGTTGGGGTGTCCAGCCTGGAGAGGAGAAGGCTCCAGGGAGACCTTAGAGCAGCTTCCAGTGCCTGAAGGGGCTCCAGGAAAGCTGGGGAGGGGCTTGGGACAAGGGCAGGGAGGGAGAGGACAAGGGGGGGATGGATTAAAACTGGAAAAGGGACATTTAAATTGGATGTTAGGAAGAAATTCTTTAATATGAGGGTGGCCCAGGCTGCCCAGGGAAGCTGTGGCTGCCCCATCCCTGGGAGTGTTGAAGGGCAGGTTGGATGGGGCTTGGAGCAGCCTGGGCTGGTGGGAGGGGTCCCTGCCCATGCAAGGGGGTGGAAACAGATGATCTTTAAGGTCCTTTCCAACCCATTCCATGATTCTGTGGCCAAGACATGCTGTACCCAGCCTGGCTCCACTCTGCCCTGTGTCACCTAGTGAGGTGACAGTGACCACCCATGACATCAGTTACCAGCTGTGACACTGCTCAGTGTCTGCATCACTCTTCAGTTTTCCTGCTCTGCTGCAGGACAGGGCTGCTCCTGTGTGTGCTGGTGGCTGGTGGAGGAGGAGAGGGGACACTTGGGGGTGACCAGGAGCCCTCGTGGCTCCAAGTGCTTGAGGCCTCCCCAGTCACCACCGTGTGGTTGAGCAGCTTTTCACCACTAAGGGGGAAAACCAGTTTAGATCCTGTTCTCCTGTGAACGGGATCTAAATCAGGAGATTGCAATGAAAGATTTAATATCCTGCTGACCTCACTCTATTAAAAGCCTCCTCACTTCCACTTTGTCACGGGTTGGCCAGGGGTGCTGAGGGACATGGTGCTGCTCCCAGGCTGTGACAGCCTGAAATGAGGAGATGATGGCAGGTCCAAGCTCTGCCAAAGCCCACCCTGGTTTCCTGCTGCGTTTGCTGCCAGCCTGGAGGAAGGAACATGGCTTTTCTGTCTCCTGGAGCCTGCCCAGCTGCATGCTCAGCTCTCTGCCTGACACCCCAGGGTTGGCCTTGCTCCCAAACTTTGTCTTGGTGTTCACAGCCCCTCCCTGCTCAGTCTGAGCAGAGCAACACCAGGCTTGGTCCTGTCCCCAGCCCAGGGGGTGCCACCCAGTCTGCTGGTGGGAGCAGGAGACAAGTCTGGGAGTGGTAACAGCCTTGTTTGACATTGGGGAATGGCTGGAAGGGCCACTGGCTGAGAAGAGCCACCAAATCCATCAGCAGAAAGTCCTCAAATTGGGCTCTGGGAAAGCTGGAGGAGCCTGGTTGTCCCTAAAGAAGAGAAGCTGAATCTCCACCACTGGTGTGTCCCCCCCTCTCCCTTTTGGCAGCTAAAAGGATGGAGAAGGGTGGCTCCTTTAACCAAAGAAGTGACCAAAATCACAATCAAACCCAGCAAACAACCCGACCTGTTGCCTTTCCAAAGCAGAGCTGGAGCAGGTGGCTTTTAAAGCCCAGTTGGAACTTGAACTCAAAATTCTAAGCAGAATTTGGCCCGCTTGGAACAAGTTCACTGCCAGCTTCTTCACCACAGCCCTGTCAGTGGCCTCCCCTCCCATTCCCCCCCCCCCAAAAAAAAACAAACCAGCTGTACTGGTGCTTGCTGTCTCCTGCCTCGTGTTTTATACTGAAACTTTTTCCCACCCCTTCCAACACAGGTGGTTGTCAACGCCTTGGTTGGGGCAATCCCTTCCATTATGAATGTCTTGTTGGTCTGCCTTATCTTCTGGCTGATTTTCAGCATTATGGGGGTTAACCTGTTTGCTGGGAAATACCATTACTGCTTTAATGAAACAGCTGAGGAGCGTTTTGAGATAGACATTGTGAACAACAAGACAGACTGTGAAGCTCTGATGCCACCCAACTCCACCGAGATCCGCTGGAAGAACGTGAAGATTAACTTTGACAACGTTGGGGCAGGATACCTGGCTCTTCTGCAGGTTGTAAGTGTTGCTTTTTCACCCTTTCAGACCTGACTGGTGGCTGGAAATGCCTGCAGGGTGGGTGGCAGGGACGGGGCATCCTCAGTGGTGCCTGTTTTAGGATGAGGGGAAACATGAGGGGGATGAGGGGAAACAGCACCAAGTGACAACACAGGAGGTTCCACCTCAAGATGAGGAGAAACTTCTTTGCTGTGAGGGTGACAGAGCCCTGGGACAGTTGGTTGTGGAGTCTCCTTCTCTGGGGGCTTCCAAGACCCATCTGGACACGTTCCTGTGTGACCTGCCCCAGATGTTGCTGTTGCAGCAGGAGGGTTGGACTTGATCTTCAGAGGTCCCTTCCAACCCCTGTGATTCCATGATCTCTCTAGCAGTGGTAAATCCAAGCTGCTTCTAATGCTTTTTGACTTCTCCTCCTCTCTCTCTGAAATTATCTCCATCCAAATAATCCCACAGGAATAAACCTGTTACTTTATCTTCTGTCTTGTTGCCCAGTCTGAGTCTCCCAGCACAGCAAGTGGCCTCAGCCTCTGCTCTTCAAAGCCTCTACTAAACCCTTGGTGAGGCAGCAGGAAACCTGTTGAGATTCATTTCCTTTAGATTGAATTAAATGAGGCTTAACTAAAATGATAATAAAATTCCATATCAAGGGCAATCAAGTGCCCTGGACTCCTGGCCATGGCTGGGACACATCAGACCTGCTCTTCTGCTTCTTGTGGCTTCTTGCTAAGAGAACTTGTGGGTTGTTTGTTTTTTTCCCAGGCTACTTTCAAGGGCTGGATGGACATCATGTATGCAGCAGTGGACTCCAGAAAGGTAACCACCAACTCACTTCCTAGTATTTCACTCTGCTCTTTTGCTTTGGTAAAATCAAAGTGGGGGGGAATGTAGAACTGTGCTTAGATTTTGTATTTAATGCTGTGATTGTTTCATTTGCTCCAGAAAAGCCCCAGAAGGGCAGGGTTCTTTGGGTTACTTTAGAGTCAGGGAAAAAAAATAATCCTGCTGGAATAGAAATACAGTGAAGAAAGGAACACAAAGAGGTTTCATCATCAGAAGAAATGATGAGGAGGAATTAGCCAGGAGGTCCTTCCTGCCCCTGGCATCTGCAGAGGAGCCCAAGTGGTGGTTTGAATCCAGTTCTGAAGTGATGGCTGGGTTGGAGCTCTTTCTTCAGGCACTTGTTCCTGCCTCCTGGAATGTTGCAAATACCACTAGTTCCTCTTTTTATTTTACTGTCTAAGTGGTTTTTTTCCTTCTTGTGGTTTTAAGATTTTTTTTTTTTTAAGTGGATTTTCTTGTCCTACACTGAATGCAGGGCTGGGAAGTAGTGAGACTGTCAGGAGAGGGTAAAAAGATGTTCTTTTTTGGTCAGCTGCTGGTCTGGCACATCCCTCTTCAAAAGAAAGAACAGTGTCTTCACTTTGGTGGTGCTTGTCAATTAAAATGCTCATTTCCTTTGTGATTTGCAAATCACTGGGTACTGACCTCATTTATAGGGCAGGTTGAAGATGTAGCATCTTGTGGTTCTCAAGGTGAGCTCACCACCCTCCTGGTGGCTCCATGCAGATCCTTTTTGCTTCACCCAGTGTGAGGACACCAACTTCCATCTCTAACCAGAGCTTTCTGCATCCTGCCTTACCTGGGACACTTGGGAACAGGATTTATTGGACCATATTGGTCTTTGACAACATGATGGCTTTGAACTCTCATTTCTTTCTCCTCTCATCCCCCCTCCTCCTTCAGCAAGAAGAGCAGCCCAAGTATGAGGACAACATTTACATGTACATCTACTTTGTGATCTTCATCATCTTCGGCTCCTTTTTCACCCTCAACTTGTTCATTGGTGTCATCATTGACAACTTCAATCAACAGAAGAAAAAGATATGTGCTCTGAGTGTGGGAGGGGACCTGATGGAGGGGGGTGTCCTCAGGCTGAGAGGGTGGAACAAGGGCTGAGATGGGGGGTTTCAGTGCAATAAAGGCTGAGGGGGGGGGTGGTTCTGTGGAATAAAGGCTATGGGGGGTTGGTTTCAGTGCAGTGAAGACCTGAGGGCCCTCAGTGTGGGGCAGGAGCTTCCCCTCAGAGCTGGGCTCTTGGTGCCCACCTAAAGGCTCAGGGAAGATGAGGGAGCCCAAAACTTTTATGTAAAACTCTGCCCAGATGAGCCCTTTTTCTCTAACCTGCATCTTCATGCATTTCTTGGGAGTGTTTTGGTTGGTTGGTTGGTTTGCCTTGACTAAAATACAGTCTGGAAGGTAGATCCCTTCCTTGTCCCTCCTTCCCCTCCTGCTTTTCTCTGGGAGCCAAGCTGAGGGTTGTGGGCAGTGCCTGAGCACCTTGGGTGTTGTGCTGAGGGGATGGGGCTGGATCTGGGGCCATAGGACAGGTTAGTCCTTGGAAAAATACTCAGTTTTCTTTAAAAGTCAGGATGCCTTGAGTATCACTGGAAGGGGTTGGTGGCTAAAATAGCTGCCACCAAGTTCCCATATGGTGGGTGACCTCCTGCCTGAGCTGGGATGTTGTTCCTGCCCCTGCTGGTGCCCCAGCTGATTGTAACCAGTTTTCCTTTTGCCCCTTTACTTTGGAGGTCAAGATATTTTTATGACAGAAGAACAAAAGAAGTACTATAATGCCATGAAAAAACTGGGCTCAAAGAAGCCTCAAAAACCTATTCCCCGACCTCTGGTGAGTACATTGGAAAGGGAATTGAGGGGAGGGGGGAAAACACAGAGTTGACTTTCAAAGGAGCTTCATCTCCACAAGCATCTTTTGTTCTGACTCATTCTGGACTCCACAGCTCCCTGGGCTCATCCTTAGAACTCAGGTTTGAGCTGAGAAAGGTTTAAACCCTTCAGCTGTGGTTGGAGTTCACCAGTTGGTTCACTTGAATCAACAAAACCATCTGAAACCGCTGGCTGAGGCTGTAGGTGGAGAGCAGGAGACCTCCTGGCATTAGTGAGGAGGAGCTTGGACATTTCAGCCTGGTGGGGGTACATTGGTGGAGCCCTGAGCCTGGGTCCTGCCTTCTGGAAGGTTCTGCAGGTGCTTTTGGGGTGTCCTGTTGCTCTGCCTGCCCCTGGGACCAGACCCAGGAGAGACAACTGGAATGGAGGTCCAGTGCCCAGGAGCCAGAACTGCCACTGGAAGGGAGACCTGGCTGCTTTCTCCAGTTGAGCATGGAAGGGCAGCAAAGAGGAAGATCTGCTGGGAACAGGGTTTTAGTTACACCTTAGGGCACCTTCCAGTGCCTGAAGGGGCTCCAGGAAAGCTGGGGAGGGACCTGGGACAAGGGCAGGAGTGAGAGGACAAGGGGTGATGGATCAAAACTGGAACAGGGAGATTTAAGTTGGACATGAGGAGGAAATTCTTGGCTGTGAGGGTGGTGAGAGCCTGGCTCAGGTTGCCCAGGGAAGCTGTGGCTGCCCCATCCCTGGGGGTGTCCAAGGGCAGGTTGGATGGGGCTTGGAGCAGCCTGGGCTGGTGGGAGGTGTCCCTGCCCATGCAGGGGGTGGATCTAGATGCTCTTTAGCTCATAGGATGGTTTGGGTTGGAAAGGACCTTCAAGACCACCCAGATGCTCCTACTAGATGATCTTCAAGGTGCTGCCCCATCCCTGGAAGGGTTCCAGGTATCTGCTATGGGGCTTGGAGCAGCCTGGGCTGGTGGGAGGGGTCCCTGGCCATGCAGGGGGTTGGATCTATGTGGTCTTTAAGGTCCCTTCCAACCCAAACCATCCCATGATTTGATGAATTTGTTGCCTCATGGTAGATTTTTGCTCAGCCTGTTGGGCTGATGGTCCCTCTCCTGTCTGGCAGAACCGCATCCAAGGAGCTGTCTTTGACTTTGTCACTCAGCAAGCGTTTGACATTGTCATCATGATGCTCATTTGCCTCAACATGGTGACCATGATGGTGGAGACGGACACCCAAAGCAAGAAGATGGAGGACATCCTTTACTGGATCAACTTTGTGTTTGTCATCTTCTTCACCTGTGAGTGTGTGCTGAAGATGTTCGCCTTACGGCACTATTATTTCACCATCGGGTGGAACATTTTTGACTTCGTGGTTGTGATTCTGTCCATCGTGGGTAAGTGTGACACCAGGTAGAGGTGTGTGAGGGCTGGGCTGCTTCCTTGGTGTTGGCTGAGTAGAGCACGTTCTTGGCTTTGCAGGGGATGGAGAGGGAGCAGGACTTGGGGCTTCTCTTTTTAGCCTTCTGAAGAGACCGTGGTAGAATTTGACATCTTGAAGTCCTGACTAAAGCCCCGTCCTCTCTCTCTGTCCTGGCCTTCCTTTCCAGTTGTGTGGAGTCAGACAACCATTCTCCCTGTCTTGAAAAAACAGAAATTTTACTCCCCTCACCAGGTTTGAGTGGTTTCTGAGCCCTGAGAAGAGCTTTGCAGCCCTTCCTCCAGCCCTGTGGGGTCTGCACTCGTTACAGTTTGGTGGGATGTTGAGTCAGTCTGTTTCCTCCAGCAGGTTCTGGCTTCTTCAGAGTCTAGAATACCCAGAACCTCACAAATTCAACAGGGGCACCCAAAACCCTTGGCTGCCCACAGCTCTGCCCAGGTGTACTGACCAAACACTGACATTTGGAGCCTGCCCTGCAGCCTAAAGCTCAGATCCAGGTCTCTCCCGTATTTATCTGACACGTTTCTTTAGAACCTTCACAAAAAACCAAGTCCATGGCCTGGCTCCCATGGCAGAGAGCTGGACACCTCCAAGAAGCAGCTCACCCATCCTTTTTCAGGTGGAATGGATCACTCTGCAGCTGTACCTCCCTCCCTCTCCTTTCAGGAGGAGGATTTAGGGAGCCAGAGCTGCCTCCAGGTGAGGCCTCTTCATCACAGCCCCCCTTGGGAGTCCTGACCAAGGTGCTGTGCCCCACAACCCCTCCCCTAGGGCCAGAAGCAGCAGCCTGCACCTCCCCGGTGGTCACGGTTGCCCCTTCTCTTCTTCTTTAGGAATGTTCCTGGCTGAAATCATTGAGAAGTACTTTGTGTCACCCACTCTGTTCCGAGTCATCCGCCTGGCGCGCATCGGCCGCATCCTGCGCCTGATCAAAGGGGCCAAAGGGATCCGCACGCTGCTCTTTGCCTTAATGATGTCCCTGCCTGCCTTGTTCAACATCGGCCTCCTGCTCTTCCTGGTCATGTTCATCTTCTCCATCTTTGGCATGTCCAACTTTGCCTACGTCAAGCACGAGGCCGGCATCGATGACATGTTCAACTTTGAGACCTTTGGCAACAGCATGATCTGCCTGTTCCAGATCACCACGTCGGCGGGGTGGGATGGGCTGCTCCTGCCCATCCTCAACCGGCCCCCGGACTGTGACCTGGAGAAGGAGCACCCCGGGAGTGGCTTTAAGGGGGATTGTGGGAACCCTTCGGTGGGGATATTTTTCTTTGTCAGCTACATCATCATCTCCTTCCTGATCGTGGTCAACATGTACATTGCCATCATCCTGGAGAACTTCAGCGTGGCCACGGAGGAGAGCGCCGACCCGCTGAGCGAGGACGACTTCGAGACCTTCTATGAGATCTGGGAGAAGTTTGACCCTGATGCCACCCAGTTCATCGAGTACAGCAAGCTGGCAGACTTTGCTGATGCTTTGGAACATCCTCTCCGCGTCCCGAAACCCAACACCATCGAACTCATCGCCATGGACCTGCCTATGGTCAGTGGAGACAGGATCCACTGTTTAGACATCCTGTTTGCCTTCACCAAACGTGTCCTGGGGGACAGCGGAGAGCTGGATATACTGAGGCAACAGATGGAGGAAAGATTTGTGGCATCCAACCCTTCCAAAGTGTCTTATGAGCCCATCACGACCACCCTGCGGCGCAAGCAGGAGGAGGTGTCGGCCGTGGTGATCCAGAGGGCTTACAGGGCTCGTCTGGCACGACGGGGCTTCATCAGCCGCAGGCCCGTGGCCACCAAGCTGGAGAATGGAGGAGCCAACAGGGAGAAAAAAGAAGGGACCCCCTCGACAGCCTCCCTGCCCTCCTATGACAGTGTCACCAAACCCGAGAAGGAGAAACAGCAACGGGCAGAGGAAGGGAAACGGGAACGAGCCAAAAGGCAAAAAGAGGTCAGGGAATCCAAGTGTTGAGACAAACAAACAAACAATAGAAACCTACAAATTCCAATGTTTGCAAGTTGAAATAAAGATTGTTTACAAACTACATGACATAGATCAATACAGAACAGCTGTGGAGACACTTACCTGAAGATCTTATACCAAACATAGTCTGCTTCCCATGTGCCAGCGTTGCAGCTGCAGCAGTGACCCACCCACCTGGCTCCAGGACCCTTGTCAACAACCATGGAAACACACCAAAAGGATTTAAAAAACCACAAAAAAAAAATATCATAATTTAAAAAAAAACCAACAGGATTTTCTATTTTTGCAGGTGGATGCTGCATGTGCCACACCAGTCAGTGCAACTTAGGACAAAGAAGCAAAATCCAACACACAAATACACACACAGAGAAAGAAAAAAACCTGCTGCTGGGATTTGTGTGGGGTTGTTTTTTTTTTTCTCCAAAGCAGCCAAAAATGGATTTTCCCATTTTTTTGTTGATTATGGAAAGAAAAAAAACCACCCCAACAACCAGCCCAGGAGTCACAACGTTCAAGGGTTTGTTCATGCAGAGCTAGGTTTGCATTTAGTTAAGCAGCAAAAAAAAAAAAGAATAAAAAAAAAACATGAAAAAAAAAAAGAAAAAAGTTAAAACAAATAAAACCAAAAAAAAAAAAAAAAAGGGAAAAAAAAAAAACCCTAAGAAACCAGCCACCCATTCAGCCCATGTCACCCAGTTGCCATCCTTGATTTGGTCTTTATTAGCTGCGTTCTACTTTCTCCATGGGCTTTACTTGGTTTGGGAAGTGGGGTGATCAGGTTCCTTCAGCCTGGAGCCACCTCAGGCTGAGCCCCCCCAGAAAAACAACAACCCCCCCCAGCACAAAGTGCTCGTTCAGTGCACAGACCCCACTTGCATGAAGGCATGAGGTGAGCAGGGACCATGCATGAGGAACCATCACCCACCAGCCCCAGCAGTGTGTGAAGCCATAAATTCCAGGCACTTCCCTGGCTCCCCAGCCTGGATTGGGAGAGACCTGTTCCCAGGCCCTTCCCTTCACCTCCCAGGTCTTAATGGGGAAAAAATCCACCAAAACACCCCAAAAAACAACAACCTAAAACCAACAAAAAAGAGGCAGATGAAATAATTGTGTCTGTTTAACTACTTGTCTTTTTTTTTTTAATATATATTTTATTTTCCCCATCCAGCCCATCTTTGATTTTTTTTTCACACCCTCCCACCCCCCAGTTCTGGCATTAACCAAACTGAAATGCTGCTCTGACCTCAGCCAAGGGGAGAGGCTCAAACTGGGACTGGTTTGGTACCCCCTGTCACTGTAACCCCAAACTCCAGGGCTCCAAGCCCAGGAGGTTCATGTGTAGCCTCCACCTCCTCCACCTTCATCTTCTTCCTCCTCCTGCAGGGGAGACATTTATTGGTATTTATTTTTTTTGAGAGAGAAGTGCTCAATGAAAGCAGCAGGTTCCCTCCAGGTGTGTGTGTGGGGGGGGTCTCAGCAGGGCTGGAGTAGGGGAGGAGGGGGTCCAGGACAAGCCACACATCCCTGGGTTGTCCCATGGGATTCCTACTCCAGGTGGGACTCAGAGCCATGGGTGACTTTCCAAAACCTGCCTCCCGACCCCAGTGCTTGTGGTGCTGCTGGGGGGGGGTGGTTCTGGATGTTGCAGCCAGCCAGGGCTGTTCCCAAGGGCTGGGGGGTTGTGGGGGGGCTTCACCTCCCACCCCTTCCTTCCACCTCCAGGCAGTGGCAGCTCCCAGGGCCAGTGGGAAGTGGAGCTGCTGCTGCTTCACCTCACAGCACCATCTCAGCATCTCTTCTTCTCCATCACCAGCCTCAGCAGCCCCAGGTCCTTCTGAGTTCTTTTTTTTCCTCTTTGGTGGTGTCCTCAGGACTAAACCAGCTCCCAGCTGCTGCTCTGGGTGAGCTGCTTTTTCCCCTCAGGACACCCTTGGTGGTGGGACCCTCAGTGGCTTTTTGGCTGGGGCGGGAACAGCGCGGTGACCACTGCCCACGTGGAGGGTACCCAGAACAGCAGGGAAAAATAAACCAAACCCAACCAAGACAGCTCGATGGGAGGATGAAGCTCAGTTTGCATAATCTCACAACCCAGAAAAGTAATAAAAATAATCCCAGGAGTCATTTAAAGTCACCCCAGGAAGCCAAGCAGGAACCCATCAGCAGCCATCAGTGCCCTGGGCACCCAGCAAGGAACCTTTTCTGTCCCCTCAGCTCTTGCCCCCCCCCACTTGCTCCTAGGATATGATGTATAATAACAACAGAAAATAAAACTACTTACATATGTACAGGCTACGTTGTAAACAGCACAAAGAGAAACAAAAAAAGAAGAAAAAAGGAAAAAAAAAAAAGCTGAAAAGTGTGGTTGAACTTTTTAAGAGAATATTATAAATACTGTAATATATCCTTTTATTTTATCAGCATGCCTTTTTGTAAATACAAAGAACTACAAAACAACAAAAAAAAACAAACTAGAATGGCTTCTGGCTTATGCCATTGTCCATGGTTCTTCCCCCCCCCCCAAACCCCCTCCCCATCCAAAACTAGATTGAAAAGAACAACTTCAGCTTTCCTGCCAAAATGCTCTTTGCAAACCAGGTGGTTTTGAGGTTCCAATGTGCAATAAGTTGACCACGTCTATGCAAGATTTGGCTGAACTTCCTCCTTGTTCTCCAGCTGGGCTCTCGTAGGTGAAGCTTTGGTTCGTTTGGCATTCGTGCTGGCAAGTTCATTAAGCTCCTCAATTACTTTAAAATAAAAAAAAAAGTCCCTTCAAACAATGGATATTTAGTTCTTTTTTGAACCTTAGGGCTGGATGAAATGCCCCAGGCTGCTGGCACTGGGGGGCAGAGGGAAGGGGAAGGTTTCTCCAGCTGGTTGGTGGTTGGAGTTGATCCTTCTGCTCCAAGTTGGGGTTTTTTTGGGGGGGGTCAAGGTGGTTTCTCCCTTAGTTTCCTCCCCCCCAGGGTAGAATTTCCCAGGTTGTGGGTGCAGGGAGTGGTGGGTGAAGCTGTGGCCGGGGAGGAGATGTTGGCCCAAGAGCACCAGGCACTTTTGTGTCCCACACATACACACACAAACAATTTATATTCCAGGTTGTGGGAATGAAGCAGGGTAGGGTGGGAATGTCCATGGAAAAGGCACAGCCAAAAAAATCCAGCCCCAACAAGTAGCTCTTTTCCCTCCCTCCTTGGGAAATCCTCCCTCCTGGGCTCCCTGGTGCCTGTTTCCACCCAGCAGAGGGGAAAGAGGCAACAGAAAAACCCACTGGAGCTGCTTGGCTCACTTTTCCTGTTCACCTTTTTTTACAACTCTAGAAGCCAACAAAACCAATTTAAATGAACCCTTGATGTCACACAGAGGCCACAACCCCCCCGAGGACAAATCCTTTAATTTTCTGCTGCAAAGAAAAAAATTAATAAATTAATAAATTAAACCTGTTAAAGCTGTAAAAGATCAATAGTGAAGATTAGTGTATTAGAAATTGCATGGTGGCTCATAATGATCTTACCCAACATGATGAACAATTACGTTACTATAAGCCAAAAGAAAAGCAAATAAATGTTACCCTTTTCACTGTACAAGGTGAGGTTGTCGTGGTGTCCCAGTTATTTGCCTGGTTTCACTCTCCTTCTCCTCCATCCTCCCCCTCAGGGGGATTTTTTGCAGGGTGGTTTTCATCTCAGGCGTGCAGAGGAGAGCAGGGTGAGGCCCAGGAGAGGCTGGGGGAAGGAAAGGTTTGGTGTCCCTCAGTGTTTGGGGGGGGTCTGTGGCAGCAGGGGGGGCTCCAGGGCTGGGCTGTCACCTGTGGCAGCTGGAGCTGAACACATCCCCTGCTCCATGCAGAGGGGTTGGTGCAGCCACCCACCTTGGACCTGCCCTGGGGGTGGTTGGCTCTGCAGGGCTGAGCCCCCCCAGCTGCACTGGAGTCCCCCCCAAAGCAGAGCAAGAACCACCAGTGAGTCTGTGTCCCCCCCGGGCCATGCAGGGGCAGGAGCCACCAGCTCCCGTGCTGGGAACCTCCTGCTGGGGCACATCCCTGCAAGACCAGCTCCCATCCCTGCTTCCTCCAGAATCACTTCATGTCCCCCGTGCAGTGACAAGGACAGGTCAGTGGGGACCCCACCCACACTTGGGGCACCAGCCCTGCTGCTCCCTCTGGGAGGTTTTCTTTCCCTGTGCTTGCCCCCCCAGCCCCCTCCTCCTTGGTTTTATTCTCTGTTCCATTTCACACGAAGGAAGGAGGAGGATGAAGCCGGGGGAGGGAGGAAGGTGATAAACCCGTGAGAGCTCCATGTCTGAACTTTGAGTTCCTTTGTACTGTACATCTTTTCACGTTGGAATTTGCAATAAAGAGGTCTGTCCATCTTGTTTTAACAACTCCTGGCTCCCCTGTCCTTCTGTTACCTTCACACAACAGCAACCACCCCCCAGCCCTGCACTGTGCCCCCCCAAATCCCCCATCCTCAGCTCAGCCAGGTCATCACTCCTGCAGCAGAGACACCAGCAGCAGAGGCAGGTTCCTGTGATGGATTTCCAGCATTGAGCTGATCCAGCCCTGAAGTATTCCCCCAAAATGAGGAGCCTGGGGACAAGTCCCATCTTGGAGCCCACCAGGGTCTCCACACAAAGCTCAAAGTTCCTGCCCTCCCCAGCAACACAAACTGGGGGGCAGTGACTGCACAGGAGCTCCTGGGGGAGAAACAGAGAAGAAAAACCATCCGAATTTAGAGGCAGACCAAGAATGGATCCAAGTCCCCAGATCCTCCTCCTGGCTTCAGGAAAGCCAAGGCTGTGGTCCAGCACAACTCCAAGCAGCACAAACGCCTCTGCTGCAAGGCCAAATCAGGTCACTGGCATTAATTAACCTCTCTCCCATGAATAATTAACCCCAGGTGCTGGCTTAGCATAATAAGCCAGCAAAGGTTTTGTTCCCTTCCAGCTGGGGCTGGAGGGGGAGACCAGGCAATGGGGAGACCCCAGGCTGGGGCACAGGGGGCTCTGCCTGGCTCCATCCCTGCCACAGGGCACCCCAACACTCAGGGACAACTGGGGACATACCCAGCACAGCTGGGAGTCATGGGGATGGGTGGGGGACATGCAGCAGCCCCGAAGTCAAGGGCAGGACCCAGCCCCTGCCCAGGAGAACACACAGGCTCAGCTTCTGGATTCTCAGCCCTTCCACGAGGCTTTATTGGGTCCCGTTTTCCCTCCAGCAGCTTCTGGAAGATGCTCCAGTTGGAGCAACGTCCCAGCCCAGCGTCCAGTGGCAGGAATACACAGTGATCATGGTGAAGAGGAGGGAGGCGAGGAAGCCCCCCAGGATACCCCAGGCCAGGGGGGGAACCCAGCCCAGGAGGCTGCGGGTGTAGGGGGGGGGAGGTCGCCTCTCGAAGTAAAGTTCCCCGGGGTCTCCAGCCACGGCTCTCCTGCCCCGTGTCCCGCTGTGCCCATCGTCCTCCAGCAGCAGGGAGGAGGTGCTGTGCTGCAGGCTGTGTTTGTACTCCTCCACGTTCTTCTGCAGCTCCAGGCTCCTGTCCTGGTTCAGGTTTTTCCCCAGCTCCAGGGCGATGTCGGAGCGGCCGATGTGATGCAGGTCCCGGATCAGCCGGTCCCAGGTTGTCACCTCCCCCGCCGTTCCCAGCCAGACCCGAAGAGCTTCCGAGCAGCTCACGGAGTCGCTGAGGTCGCGGGGTTGGAGAGGGGGGTCGATCTCAGAGATCTGCCCCAGCTTCTGCTCCCCCTGGTCCAGCTCAGGCCTCTCCAGCCGCTCCGGGTCCAGCTCGGGCTCCACCAGCCGCTCCCGGAGCCGCCGGCACTCGGAGGGGGTCAGCAGCTCCGCGATGCGGTTCATGGTGTGAACACCCACGTTGGCTGCCACCGTGTTGTCAGACCGGCCACCCCTTGCCAGCAAGAGCAGGAGGAGTCCCACGGGTGCCAGCATCCCTCGGGTGTCCCTCTGGGAGGGGCCCAGAAGTGCAGAACCCTGCCCTGACCTCACAAACCAGCACGTTCCATGGGCACCCCCAGGTCTGAGCCCAGCTCAGCATCCCTCCTGGCATCCCTCCTGGCATCCCTGCTGGCATCCCTCCTTCCCCAGCTCAACCCATCCAGCCACCAAACACCCACAGCTCGAGGACACGGTGACAGACCAAACGGTGCCTCGATTCCCAGCAGAGCCAAACCAAAGGGCTGGAAGGTCAGTGCTGCCTGCGAGGAGCTCCAGGGCACCTTCACCATTGGCAGGGACATCCATCCATCCCTCCTTCCCTCCATCCATCCCTCCTTCCCTCCATCCATCCCTCCTTCCCTCCATCCATCCCTCCTTCCCTCCTTCCCTTCTTCCCTCCATCCCTCCTTCCCTCCATCCATCCCTCCTTCCCTCCATCCATCCCTCCTTCCCTCCATCCATCCCTCCTTCCCTCCATCCATCCCTCCTTCCCTCCATCCATCCCTCCTTCCCTCCATCCATCCCTCCTTCCCTCCATCCATCCCTCCTTCCCTCCATCCATCCCTCCTTCCCTCCTTCCCTCCATCCATCCCTCCTTCCCTTCTTCCCTCCATCCATCCTTCCTTCCCTCCATCCATCCCTCCTTCCCTCCATCCATCCCTCCTTCCCTCCATCCCTCCATCCCTCCATCCATCCCTCCTTCCCTCCATCCCTCCCTCCTTCCCTTCTTCCCTCCATCCATCCTTCCTTCCCTCCATCCATCCCTCCTTCCCTCCATCCATCCCTCCTTCCCTCCTTCCCTCCATCCCTCCATCCATCCCTCCTTCCCTCCATCCCTCCCTCCCTCCCTCCCTTCTTCCCTCCATCCCTCCCTCCTTCCCTCCATCCATCCCTCCATCCAGGCACAACAGCCTTTGCCCCCCACATCCTGCTCCCCCGGGGTGTCCTGCCCGTGCCCCTGGGACCCCAGCCCTGGGTCCCTTGGGGTTCAGCA